ACAACACTAAGAGTGAACTGTAATGTAACCTATGGACTCCAGGTGATGATGATGTGTCAATGTAGGTTCATCAGTCTAACAAATGTACCACTCTGGGGGCCCATCTGGTGGTTCAGTGGTTAAGTGCGCACGTTCCGCTTCGGTGGCCCGGGGTTAGCCAGTTAGGATCCCAGGTGCGGACATGGTACCAGCTTGTCAAGCCATGCTGTGGTAGGCGTCCCACATATAAAGCAGAGGGAGATGGGCATGGATGTTAGCTCAGGGCCAGTCTTCCTCAGCAAAAAGAGGAGGACTGGCAGTAGTTAGCTAAGGGCTAATCTTCCTCAAAAACAAAATAAAATAAAACCTACCACTCTGGTGGGGCATGTTAATAAGGGGGGAGGCTGTGCATGTGTGGCAACAGGGGTATATGGGAAATCTCTGTACTTTCCACTCAATTTTGCTGTGAACCTAAAAATATTCTAAAAAATAAAATCTATTAAAAAAAACTATGCTGATTATCTTCCCCCACTATACCCCACCCCACAAATAAAATAGCTGACCTTCTCAGGGTTCTTAGTTTTTTTTGCTTTTTTTTTAAGATTTTTTTTATTTTTCCTTCTTCTCCCCAAAGCCCTGGGGTACATAGTTGTGTGTTTTTGTGGTTTTTTTAGTTGTGGGTCCTTCTAGTTGTGGCATGAGGGACGCCGCCTCAGCATGGCTTGATGAGTGGTGCCATGTCCACAGCCAGGATTTGAATTGGGGAAACCCTGGGCCGCCGAAGCGGAACATGCGAACTTAACTACTCGGCCACCAGGCCGGCCCCAGGTTCTTAGTTTCAAACAACAAAATTCACCCAGGCTTATTCAAGGAGAAAGGAAATTTTATTGAATAACTCAACTCATCTGTCTACTCCAGTTTTGCCGCACTCCAATCCACCCTCGCCATTCAGCCAAAGTGAGCTTTCTACCACGCATTCTTGAAAACCCTGCAATAGGTTTCATTTGTTCTTAGGACAAAGTTTAAACACTTGGGAGATGCTGTGAGTGCCTTGCCTACATCCCCTTGGCCCAACCTGGGTATCACCTACTGACTATTCCCACACGTGCAATGGGCTTCTGTGTCTCCCAGCCTGCCTGGAGGCGTTCTCTGAAGAGCTGGGGCAGGCCCCCAGGAGCAATCTCCAACCAGTGAGGGACAAGAGTGGTGGATAAATGCCCCTCATTGCCTGGACCAATGTGACAACTCAGAGGCATGGCGTACAGGGTCTCTCAGGGGTCTCCAGTGGCACTGAGCTTCAGCTGTGCAGAGCAGTACCCCGCTGACTAACAAAGCCCTTTATGGGCTTTCTTCCCTCCTCTGTCTTAATTCCCCCTTCCTTCACCACGCTTCCTGGAACCACCTTCCAAAGAAACTACTTCCACACAAATGCCTGCCTCAGTTTCTGCTTTGGGGCTACCCCAACCTAAGACAGTCCCCTTACATGGTCTACAACTCCCCTCATGATTGGGCTCCCGCTTCCTTTTCCGACACTAGGCTTTGCTACTTCCCAGTTTGCACTCTGTTCTCATGGCGCATGGAAACTCTTTCAGCTCCTTTCTTGCTCTCTCTCTTCTAGGCCTTTGCACATACTATCCTTTTCCTCCTAGAACACTCTGTCTCCTACTCTTCTTCTAACTAACTCCTATTCAACCCTGATATATCTGCCTAAATGTCACTTCTTCCAGAAAACCTTCCTGAATTCCCAAGTTCAGATTTTGAGTTCCTTCTATCTGCTCTTAAGGCATCCTGTTCTTCCCCAAACATAGCACTTATCATATCATTTTGTAGAAGTTTCTTAGTTCTCTATTTCCACCTGTATTCTGTAAGTTTCAGGAGAACAGGGACCATCTCTTTCTTGTTTTTTGTTGCAGCAGAATCATCTAGCACAGTTTCAGGCACAAAGTAGAACTTTATGAATACTGGCATACAGTAGGTGCCAAAAAACATTTGTGAAAATGAAAAGAAAAGAAGCACCGAAACAGTGCTCCAGACGAGTTACAGCATTACTTAATCAAACTGCCAGGACACAGTTCAGAGAAGCCGCACGAGATGATAAGGTCCAACTTCCTTCTGGTTCCCACCTGAGTCACTCTCTGGGACACAACATGGACCAACCTCCAATGCAGAAATCGAGAAAATATCTTCCAATAAATAGGACACAAACTACATAGGTCTATGCATAGTGTCACCTTCAAAATAATTCATAATTCACGAACTGATTTAGAGTTAGCCTTGAAATTTTAGCAGCAAGGCCTCAAAGTCTAAGAATAAAATGCCTGTAATTTGGCAACAGAACAGACAGCCTGTATCAGAGTAAGTTAACTGCTGAATCAAATAGCACAGTAAAGTCCAATTTGATCTGGCGGCTCTCCTTCAAGTGATGACCCAGGGACTTCCAGTCAGCAAGGCGGAAGAGGGAAAGAGGGAAGACAGAGAGGGTGAAGGAGCTCACGCCGGATACCAAACCACCTTAGCCCTGAAGTAAACGCGTCCGTTCCATTTACACTCCTCTGCTGAGAAGTAGTCACACGGCGCCCCCAGGCTGTGAGGTCTGGGGTCGGGGGGCGTGCTAATGTAGGTTCTGGCTGGGCATCTCCTTGTTAACAATTCTCCACACCATGCAAGGGAACAGAGATCTTGAGAAGTCAGCTAGTTACCTCTGAAACCCTGCCAGAAGTATTATTTTATTTTAGGAAACCGAAGTGATCTGATAAGAAGTGGGCTTCCTTATTGGTACAGTTACAATACTTTCATCATATCAAAGGGAGACAAACACGGACATTGCTAGCCTCTCTCACAGGGACCACTGCAATATTCCCTGCCCTTGTTGGTTTCCCTGCTTCCAATTCCACTCTGTTCCACCCTCACCTCCACTTCTAACCGATCGTACAGTTTGCTTTCAGAATACAGTCATGCGACACTTAATGACGGGGATACGTTCTGAGGAATTTGTCGTCAGGCGATTTCATCACTGGGCAAACATCATAGAGTGCACTTCCACAAACCTAGTTGATATAGCCTGCTACACACTTAGGCTATATGGTACTTATCTTATGGGACCACCATCGAATATTCTGTCCATCATTGACCAAAACACTGCTATGCGGTGCATGACTGTAATTGCTCTAAATTCAAATCTGCCCCATTTAAAGCACATCAATGCTCCCTAGTACCTTTAGGATGAAGTGTACATTCCTCTGCGAGGCATAAAAGGCCCACCAAGCTCCGGCTTCAGCCTACCCCTCCAACCTCACCTCCTGCCCCTCCCTCTCTCACTCTGTGCACCGAACTACCAGGTGATCCCCAAAGCATCAGGCTACTTCATGCCTTCACGCTTGTGCATATGCCATGTCTCTGTCCAAAATGCCTTCTCCCCTTCTCCAGGGCAACACTTGTTTTATCCTTCAAGATTCAGCTCAAGTCTCTCTTCCTCTGTGAAGCCTTCTTCGAATCTACCCATCCTCCCAACCACAGTTAATCATTTTCTCTTCTGAGCCATCACTTTTCTTTGTACCTACATTGAGTATCACACCACACTACAATTACTTGTTTATACATCTGTCTTACCTATTAAACTATTAGACTGTGAACTCCTCAAAGTCAAGGACCAAGTCTTTTCATTGCTGTGTTTTCAGAGCCTGACATAATATCCAATGTGTACTGGGAACTCAATAAATGTTTGATGAATGAATTAATGCAAGTATACACATGTGAAGGAATCCCATGTTTCTAGCTTGTGACTGGAAAATTCGTGAACGATTTCATTCTGATTTGAGATTCAGCTGAAGCTGAGGAGTCAAAACAGTATTTTCTCATTTCTGCTGATCTTTTTTTTTTTTTTGAGGAAGATTAGCTCTGAGCTAACATCTGCCACCAATCCTCCTATTTTTTTGCTGAGGAAGATTGGCCCTGAGTTAATATCTGTGCCCATCTTCCTCTATTTTATATGTGGGATGCCTACCACAGTGCGGCTTGACAAGTGGTGCATAGGTCCACACCCGGGATCTGAACTGGTGAACCCTGGGCTGCTGAAGCGGAACGTGCGAACTTAACCACTATGCCACTGGGCTGGCCCCACGCTGATCCTTTTATACATATTCATGCAGGTTTAAAGCAAATATGAAGAACTAACTCAGACACCCAGATGGAACACAAGCAGGAGTAAGTTCCTGTCCAATGAGAAATCAACACAACAGAGAATTTATGCCCAGGCTAACCAACTTTCTATGGATGAAGATGGATTCAAATTTTAATTTTTTTTTCACTTGAATATCATTATTTACTTATTTATTTTTGTTTAATTTTTTTAATCTCCTTTTTATAACTAGAACCAGATAAACATAGGTAAATTTGTTTCATTAAAGAAATTTTTAGGGGGAAAAAAGTCAAATATTCACAGTTCTTCTCAATTAAAATGTCAATGCTTATACCAAAAATAGAAGTTTTCTAAGTATCAGAAGACAACAACTTAACATAACCTTTCCTAGCCTGACTATTTAACTTTGATCTAAATCATATGTCATAATTTCAATGCTTGAGTTTAACTATATATTCACAATCCCATCTTTCATGGTTCAGTCCTGCCAATTTTATTAACCAAGAAGACAGTAGGAAATGACACTGAGATGGAATATGTACCAGTTACTATGTTAGATGCTATTTATACATCATCTTTTTTAATATCCCTAACAACCTCATAAGGAAAGGCAGTACACCCTGGGTAGGTTTTAGGCTGTCCACATCTGAACTCCCTATATACATTTGAGGAATTTCCCATCATATGAGTCCTGTTGGAGACAGTCTGCCTCCCTCTATAATGGCTGGAAAGCCATGTTCTCACTTACCAAGACTTCCTTACCACTAGGAAGTTGGCAGGAAGCCTAGGCCACCTATCAGATAGACTGATCCAGACTCGAATCAGAAGCCAGCAACCCAGAGAAGCGGGCACCATGAAGAATCTCTGCTAATTAAATTCTTACCTGTGTCCGTGGAATAAAGAAGCCGCCGAAGGGAAGATCTGAGGGACAAAGCAGTCATCCAGCAACGTGAACAGCATGGGGTGTTCAAGGACTGTGGAGAGGAGTGGTTTCGTCTAATGTCACCGGACAGAATAAAGACAGACAACGTAAGCTCAGAGTCTTACGTTTTACCCTCATAACAAGGACAGAAATCCAAAACTTTATGTAACTTAAAAAATAAAGCTCTCTTATGTATTTTTCCACAATAAAAAAAACGTTAAAAAAAAATAAAGACAAAACTCTTATCTCTCATGGCTGCAAAACTGAGACAGTCAGAAAACAACAAAAACTTTGAATCTGTGGGTCATCCAATTGTATGTTCATTCCACAGCCTTGCGCGATCTTTTGTGAGCGATTTAGAGTAGAGTGGAAAGAACTTAACCCCAAGGACTAGAATTGGGAAATACGCCAGCATTTGGCCAACTCCGAGTGCTCAAAAACCTCACTTTCACTGACCCTCCTCACCAACTAAAGCAGCCACTCCCTCCCTGCCCAGTGAGACTGTTCCGGCTCCCCTGATGATCCTGAAACTTGAGGGAAGCACTACGTTCATCTACTCCACCTACACAGACACTCATTATCTCTGAGCTGTTCGCTAGCGTAGATCTCAGCATGCCCTGAAGAGCCAATTACAAGGTCAGACTCCTGATGCCACTGGTGAGACAGGCTTTGTTACAGTGCTCGTTACAGTATTGTTTGAGATGACTGATCCTGAATATCAAGATGAAATAGTGATGCTGACACACAACGAGGATGGGAAGAGAATGGCTGGATCCAGGAGAACCTTGAAGTAACTCCTAGTACTGAGATGTCCAGTGGCAAGAATGAAAAGATATATGGACAAGATTGCCAAGGACTTAGATCTCCCAGGAGTGGAGGTTTGGGTCGTACCACCGTATGAAGAACATCAGTTCAGCCAAGGATGTAAAATGGGGAATGAAGGAGGGAGTCAGAAATACTTCCTTTGGCCTTGTAACCTGATGCAAAGGCATGGAATATAGCATCTATCCATGTTCTCTTTCTTGCTATGCCATATGTATAAATACATATATAAACTAATTTTCTGTCTCTATTTTATATAGGATATGCTGGTGATAATTAACTTTACCACACAGTCTATATATTATCAAACATTGATATGGGATCATGTCAGAACTGAAGAAGAAATGGACACCATCGAGAGATCCTGAATGTGGAGATGAACACAATAACTGATGAGACTGATGTATGCCCCTTGGGGTAAGGGGAGAGCATTTTAAATTATACGAGGTACAGTTGCATTAGGTTGTATGGGAGAATTTTTTTCTTTTGGGTGTAAATATAGAAAAAAGGAGGTAGGTCGATTTTGGATCACCAAAGGGATGAATCGTAGTAGTTTTGGTTTGTTTTTTTGGCTACCTGGCATCTGAATCTCCTTCCTATGTATGGAGATTTTCCAGTCTTAAGAGTTTTGTTGATGGGAAGAGCCCATCTCTCACTATAAAAGCTGAAATACTTGTTTTCCCAGACTCCTTCACTGCTAGGGAATAGCAGATGACCTAAGTTCTCCAAGAAGACACACCTTACCCCGAACATTAAATGGGAAGTTGGTGACGCTAAAGAGCAGAGACCACAGACAATGCGCCATATCTGCAGGCAGGGCAGGAGGGCAGCAATCCTGAGTTTCTGTGAGCTAGTGGTGCCAACTAGCATCCAGTGTCCCATGCCAGCAGCATCAGCCAGCAGGCATTACTATCTCCACCAGACCGGCTTCGTAACATATTTCCACTTTGGTCCTGGCAGCTGCCTGGCCTTGCTTGTTCCTACGCATTTTCCTTTCTCAAGATTCTGTCAGCCATCCAATATGCTTTCAGTAAATTCCTTTTCTGCTTAAGTATGCAATTAAATGTGTAGTTGGTTTCTGTTGTTGTAAACTAAGAACCCTGACTGATACAGGTGGATATTATCTCATTTCTGGAAACTGAAACATTAGGGAGGTTAAGTGACCCAGAAAATAAGACATAACCAAGGAGTGGTAGGGCGGGGTTTGGATCCAGGCCCATTCCTCTCTCTCGTCTGTGCTCTTTCCACTTTAGCACACTGCAATATCCAGAACTGAAATGTTTCCCTCCATGAAGGAAAACTGCTCAAATCAAAGATTCTGTTAAATTAATATAGAGAAAAGTCATGCACAACATTTTAATGGAAGATTAGAAAAAGTCATTTTTTTCCAGCAACATTTCCCAAATTCTGCTTATCAGAATCAACCACCAGAGTGGAAAGCCCTGGAATGCAATACTTCCATCCTCTTCAAAACAAAATCTGTTTCCTTTTTCTGCCAGAGCATGCCAGAAAAAAATGTCGTTCCTAAGAAAGCTAAGAAGAAGTCAAAGGACAGTATCTTTTTTCCTCCTGCAATAAAGTGGAAGTAATCTTTTGAATAATTAATTGACTAAAGGGATATAACTCCAGGGAGACTTGGGTTCCTGTCTATCATTAAACAATTGTGGGCGGTGCACAAACTCCAAATCAACAAGGCCAGCCCTTTCGTAAGAACACGGAGTTGGCTCAAAGACCGTTTTTGATTAGAACACCACCCTGCCTCTTCCTCTCAGAGATCGTTGGACTGATCATATCTTGCACACAGTGGGTACCCAATAAACACTTACAGAGTAAATGCATCTTCACCATTCCTATACTAAGAGTTCAAAGCCGTCTACCTGGAGTTCAGATCCTAACTAGATGGAGGATCTGAAAAATAGAAAGTATCTCCATATTTTTGAGGCTACAGTGTTTTCTTTCATGCACTTTTGTTAATGCCCCAAATTCCATTCCCTGATGTTGTTAGTGCTGAAGAAGATGAGCTGGATGCAAATTAAGCATGACCAACAGGGCCAGACTTTCATTCTAAAGGATCCCTAGAAAAGCAGAGAGTTCCACGGGACAGGAATGAAAAGCTCTGCTGAGAAGGGAGGGTGTTTTCAGCCACTGACACCTGCTCTCAAAGAACATACACTAAGAGAATTAGACATGCTATTTTCTTTTTGTTTGTTTGTTTGTTTTTTTGAGGAAGATGAGCCCTGAGCTAACATCTGCTGCCAATCTTCCTCTTTTTGCTGAGGAAGACTGGCCCTGAGCTAACATCTGTGCCCATCTTCCTCTACTTTCTATGTGGGATGCCTACCACAGCATGGCTTGCCAAACAGTGCCATGTCTGCACTTGAGATCCAAACCAGTGAACCCCAGGCCGCCGAAACAGAATGTGCACACTTAACCGCTGCGCCACCAGGCCAGCCCAGACATGCTATTTTCTTATCCCTGAACTAAAAAGAAAGGCAAGATGAAGCATTCTCAGTGTCTGGGATTCCCATCTACCTACACTGGGAAACCATCTATGTCAGATAAATATTTTCATCCCCTCCAGGACCAATATGCAATGATTCTGAAGATAAACCTAACACATACCCTGCACCACAAGCTCCCACTCTTGTTTCTTATCTTTAAAAAAAATCTTTACCCTGAGGCAGGGGCAGACAGAATAACGCCTTCCACACCCTCACTGCCATGTCTTCATCCTCACCCTTGGATCCTCTGAATACATTACCTTACCTGGCAAAAGAGAGTCTGCAGATGTGACGAAAGTTAAGGACCTCAAAATTAAGGAGATTATCCTGGATTATCTGTGGGGCCCATCTGATATCACATCAGTCCTTAAAAGCAGAGAAACTTTCCTCGTTGAGTTAGAGAGAAGAGAGGGGAGAAGGAGAGACTGGAAGGGTGAGGGGGATTCAAACTACCATGGCTGGCTTGGAGGGTGGAGGAAGTGGGCCATGAGTCAAGGAATGTAGGTGGTCTATAGAACAGCCCTCTCTGGGGGGCCGGGCCGGCCCAGTGGCACAGCGGTTAAGTTCACACGTTCCACTTCGGAGGCCTGGGGTTCGCCAGTTCAGATCCCAGGTGCAGACATGGCACCACTTGTCAAGCCATGCTGTGGTAGGCGTCCCACATACAAAGTAGAGGAAGATGGGCACGGATGTTAGCTCAGGGCCAGGCTTCCTCAGGAAAAATAAATAAATAAATAAAAGAGGAGGATTGGCAGCAGTTAGCTCAGGGTTAATATTCCTCAAAAAAAAAATAAATAAGCAAAATTAAAAAATAAAAGGGGCAATGTTGTAGTTTAAAAAACGTTTTTTTAAAAAAAGATAGCCCTCTCTGACAGCCAGCAAGGAATTGGGGATCACAGTCCTACAACAGCAAGGAACTAAATTTTGCCAACAACCCAGATGGGCAAGGAAACAGGTCCTCCCCAAGAGCCTCTAGAAAGGAACACAGCCTGTGGGTGCCCGGATGTTAGCCCTGTGAGACCATGTCAGACTTCTGACCTACAGAACAGTAACGGGAGATAGTACGTTTGTGTTGTTTAAGCAGATAAATTTGTGTTAATTTGTTACGACGGCAATAGAAAACTAGTACAAGACGTAAGCCTCCACCTGAGAGTTAATTATTCTCCGTCGGTTCAAGCTCACTTTAGAAACAAGTATACAGGCAAGCTGAGGGGAGCGAGCCTACTTCTGTTGTTGCTATTGTTTGTTTTCTCACTCGTTTTCCTGACCGGCTATGAAAGTCCCTGCCTGTCTCTCTGGAGTGACTGCTAGCATCTTTCCTGTGTGAAATTCCTCCGGAATGAGTGTGCCATTGGCTTTGGTCGTGGGCGGGTCGGTGTCTGAGCTCGTAAAGAAGGCAGTTTCTCCTCTGTGAATCACAGAATGTAGGAGCAAGCTAGAGGCCTTGAGGTCATCTAGTCCAATCTTATTTGGTGAAGGAAACAGATGCCCAGAGAGTTAAAATGACTTCCCTGAGAACCCACAGTGATCTATTTCAGAGCTGGGACTCTAAACCTGGCCTTTCAGTTCCCAGCTCAGGACTTGGTTTCCACCACACTGTTGGTTCTCAGCCCTGGATGTGCGTAGAATCACGGAGGTGGGGGGAGGGGGAATTTTTAAAAAACACTGATGCCAGGCCCCCACCCTGGAGATTCTGATTCAGTTGATCTGGGGTGAGGCTCAAATCAGCATTATTTTTTAAAAGCTCTCCTATTCTATTGTGCTTTATACCGGAGCTCTGAATTTTGGCCTGCTCTCAGCACACGCTGAATTCTGCTTAATTCGTGATAATTAACATCCAATATAACAAACAGACCAACACCCGGTTTATTCCTGGTTAGTACAGGCTTTATTAGATGCAAAGTAAAAGCAAAATATTTCAGTGGATCTCCAAGAATTCTCTAAAAGAAATTGTCTTTTTCCCTGTGCTTGTTTATCTTGCGAGAGAGAACCTTTTGCCACTTAGAATCTCTGACATGTGATTCCATTTCCTGCCCTAGGTCCACGCTGTCAATGTCTCTTTGTCCTCTCCATGCCTCCAGGGACTAAAGTCCTGCCCCAAACCCTGGTCCCAAGGATTGACAGCCCTCTCCCTGCTGCTCGCCACCTGCCTGCCTGAACCACTGTCGGCCTGCCTTGGGCGCCCTCCACAGTGCACTTGGCCTACAGAGGTCTCTGCCTTTCAGCAGCAGCCGTGGTCTTCCTCCCCTGAAAGTCGGCTACCGAGACCCGCCCCACGCTAACGCGGGGTTGTTGGTGCCCTCAAAAGTGGTGATTGTGCACAGGAAAGACTATTTGCAGATGCTTTGATTTGTAAGATGAATATTTGGTTTATTAAAGTTAAATTTAAAAGCCCCATATTTTTAGCATAAACCTTCATATTCCAGTTATTAATCAAGCAAAATTCAACAATCACTTTTAAGGAACACCTCCACAAATTAATTAAATGCCCTTAAATATTTTTAAACTGCCTGTAGAGTCAGTATATTTTATTTTTCTTTTTAATTTTTCTTCTGATTAATAAGACTTTCCATTTGGCTCTCAAGTCACTGTAATGTCATAATGCCAATTCATCAGCGCCTTCATGCCTAATGGAATTATGTTGTACACTGTGGCACTTTACTGCATGATTTGAGTTGACCAAATTCTGTATTCTTCTCATCTTTTCCTTGCTTGGCAGGGACATAACTTACAAGTTTTTAAATGGGCGCCCTTGGATTCCACATAGCTCTCCTGGTTTTGTTTCACTCCACAGTCACTAGGCTTTGCCCTACTGACCCCCAGTATATGTTAATAGCAGCCCCACACCAATGCCTGTCTTATCCCCAGTTTCTAACCCTCCTGTGGCCTGTCTAACATCCCTACCTAGACCAAGATCCAGTGCTGAGACCTGACCTGCACTGCTGCTCTTGTCTTTTCCCCTTCCTGAATGGCTTCTCCCTCTTTTCTACTCATCCTTCAAGGTTCAGCTCAAATCCTACCTTCCTTCACCACAGCCCGTGAGGATTTCTCTCTCCACACAGGTATTGCCCATTGTTGATGCTATTCATTTTATATTATCTTGCGCATCATATTACTGCTAGTTAATTTTTCCTTTTTTTTTTTTTCGGCTTCTCTCACCTAGATTAGAAACTCTTAGAAGGCAAGAGGTGTGTTTTAGAGTATTTGTAGCCCAGCTATGGCCTAGCATGGTGCCCTGGGCGTGACAACAGCTCAGTATGAGGTGATTGAGAGGTTGACTTCTATAGCATGTCACTCCCAGAAGGCATGTCTAAGTTCTGCGCCTGCTCCACACGCTGCGGGTAGTCAACGATAGTTGAGCAATATTAATCCAAACTAACCACTTGAGGTTTATGGCACACCCTATCAGGAGACAGCATGTAACTCTGCTTCTCAGCTTGCTTGATGCAGATTTACTGACTTCAACCAGCTAGTAAATTCCAGAGGAGTGACATCTGGTACAGATTTTCCATCCTGAAATTACAATGCCTATAGTTGTTGAAACACTTCTATTGAAAAATGTCTTCCTGTGTGCTTCACTCCCACTAAAAAGAAAATGCTGAATAATACGTTTCGGCACACCTTACTTACCAAGCAATGAATATGTGCAAAGAGACAGGGAAGGAGAGAAGCAGCGGCTCATAAAAAGTCTTCTGTAAGGTTTGGTTGTGTCAAGACTTCACAGGAAGACAGATCTTATTTTTATCAGAACTAAGTTTCAGTTTCTTGATATACATGGAAGAGCAAAAGGGTATCAGTAGTTCCCTCTACCCAGAAGAAGGAAATAGGAGAAACTGTCCACACAACAAATAAACCAAGTGTACCTCCAAACCCCCAGAAACATGTCTGATTTACTGCGGGAACCGGGGGAGTTTCCCAACTCAACTATTGGTCTGGCGTTTTTAATTGAAAGCAGTTGCCCTCTCCCCACCCAGCCTTGAGTGTGAGTCATCATCTGTCCCCCAGGCCAAGTGTTTGACAAAATACTCTCCATCACCATGGCAACAGCCCAGCATCTGCCCTCACTTAGGTGTGGTTAGACTAAGTGCTACAGCTTTTTTTGTTGGTATCTGTTTGACTAGTTATGAATTTGAAACATTAATCACAGGAAGAGGCCATTTGGCACACAAGAGTACAAGAAGGAAATAGAAAAGAGGGAGGTCCAAAATAGCACAATTAACTTTTTGTTAACAGCTTACTCTTCAGTATATGTCTTTGCTGTGAGTTTAGTTACAGACAGCACTGAACTACCTGAGGACGAAGGGAAATAGAGATAATGATAATTACTGAAATCTTACTATGAGGCACCCTTAATCCTTACGGCATCACTTATTATTATTCCCATTTCACTGATGAAGAAACTGAGATGCCCAGAGTTTAGGATTACGCAACTGGTAAGTAACAGAGCCGGGATTCAAACTCAGACTGTCTGATTCCAAGGACCTACACTCTTAACTGCTGTATCTGCTTACCTCAGGTTATAGGAGAGGAAGATCTTCACAAGTTGTTTGGTTGGGATTTTTGTTTGCTTTTAGCCACTAAAGTTAAATTATATCAAGGCTTTAAAGACTAAAACAGGATGGGGGCCTGCCCGGTGGCGCAGCGGTTAAGTTCGCACGTTCTGCCTCTCAGCAGCCCGGGGTTTGCCAGTTTGAATCCTGGGTGCAGACATGGCACCGCTTGACAGGTGTCCCACATATAAAGTAGAGGAAGATGGGC